TGCGTCGATGCTAAGACAGAGATTTGGCTTTCCTTGGACATGACAACCTATTTTCACAAATATATATGTCTCACAAGTAATCGCACATGCTCAGTTTATCTCTCTCTCATTCGTTGTCTGTTTAGGCTTGTTAGTGCAAATCTACGGAGCCTCAGTACAAATCAGCATGGTACTCATTATGTTATCATTACTAACTTATTTAATATTCAGTACACATGCATGAAGTGTAAAACGTGAAGGGCATAACCCTATGAAAAAAGAAAACACGCAAAAATCATGGATGCTGCGGTTCTTGCATTCCTCTGCGTTTTGCTCGTCAATAGCGCGGTATTGCGATATTGCGGTTATCACGACAGCCCTAATTCATCGTGAAACTTGCTAATTAGCACATTATTAGGAAAGGCGATTTGCAAAGATTCATTACAAAACATTATACTCACTTCTGTAGATGAGGCTAGATCATGAATGATTCGCGCGAACAGACGCATTTAGGTAGATCGGGGGAGCATTCCCTTCAAAAACAAATGTAATCCACTGCGAGTTCAGCGGCTCAGATGTCGGGAGTAAATGACGACTGCTATGTTCATGATTACATCCAACAACAGAACACCTCAATCGCTTATTAGTAGGGATGCTCCGATCCGCCTTTTTCGCCTCCGATACCGATTCCGATACCTAGGGATCGGTATTGGCCGATACCGATACCAGTGAAGTTATTTTCCCTCATTTAAATAAATGTAGAATTTATATATCTCGGTGTGTGGAACTGATAATCATTCTTACGGGGAAGTCATGGCCTAATGGTTAGAGAGTCGGACTCGTAACCCAAAGGTTGCGGATAAAATAAACAAATATGAAAAAATACAGGCCTATGTATATTTATAATCTAAGACAAAAATGTATCATAAACTAGGTTAGTGGATAATTCAGCAGCAAAAGTTATTCTAGAAAAATCAGTGCACAATAATTTTAGAAATCCAAACATTTAGTGAAAAAACTATTTTGTGGGGAACAAAAAAAAATGTTGCACTAAATATGGTAAAATGTTACACATTGCTATTTGTATTATTATAACGTGGCGTGTCGTTATGGTTGATTGGGTCTGCGGGAGTTTGATACCACGGCTCCACCTCACGACACTACTGCGCAGACTCTGGCTCCAAACTAATCTCTACTGCGCAGACTCGGGCTCCTAATAACGTCATTTACTCAAGATGGCAGCGGCCATACTGAGATGCTTTGGCTTCCGTTTATCTATAGTGGAAGGAATAGGAGACGAGTCGTCCATCTTTTTTTACAGTCTATGGTAGCATCCTTTGACCCCTTTAAGTAATTAGATATATAATGTATATAATAACCTGGGTACATAGACATGCAATTACCAACACCCCTTCATGCCATTTTTATAGAATAAAAGTATTTTAATGAAATTTTTACTGTCATATGCATGACAGTCCACATTCATTTTCATTATGTGAAAAACAAGAGTGGTCTGTACATTCTTTAAAAATAAAAAAAAATAAAACAAACAAAAAAAAATAATAAAGAGAAGGTTTGAAACATGACCGTAACAATTTGGGGAACTGGTCCTTTAAAATCTGCTCTTTAGCAGGAGGAAGTGACCTTTGGATTTCAACCTTTCTAAATCCATCTCATTAATATTAATGAAGGCAAAACACACTGAAGTCTTTCTACTATAATTTGAATAACTGCCCTTTTAACATGGGGATTTTTTCTGTTCAAATAGCACGTAACCATTCTAGGTCTGGTTACAAGTGACTGAGACTGAGCTGTAGCCTATGTGTTTACTAGTAAATAAGTGTACCATTTCATGCTACCTTGGCGTCCCATAACAGCTAAAAACATGAGTGTCTGCCACCAAAACTTCAGTTCAATCCCACATTCAGATGTTGTTATTAAACACTCAAAAAACCATGACAACATGACAATCCCAGAATGATGCTGATGGGGAACAGCACTGCTCACAAAAAAAAAAAAAAAACACTGAGGCCTTTCTACTATGATTTGAATAACTGCCCTTTCAACATAGGATTTTTTTCTCCTTCAAATATCATGTAACCATTCTAGGATTGGTTACAAGTGACTGAGCTGTATGTGTTTACTAGTAAATAAGTGTATAATTTCATGCTACCCAGGCGTTCATAACAGCCCAAAAAATGAGCGTCTGCCACCAAAACCCCATTTCAGTTATTTACAGACCAGTCCCACATTCAGATGTTATTAAACACTCACGAAACCATGACAACATAACAGTCCCAGAATGATGCTGATGGAGAACAGCACTGCTGATCCAATCAGGACTGGCAATGAGACAATACGTCTCAAACTGGGACTAGTCCATTATGCACCATCCAATGCATCTTGCACACATGCTTTAAGATGATTAACAAATCATGATGGACCTCCAAGACACGTTTTGTCTCGAGCAGGAGCCTCAAGTGGCTCTTATTTGGACATCTGGGAAGCAGACCATCGCATTCAGATTAAAAAACACAATGCGCTCATTCTTAGACATGCAGAAAAATGAAAGAAGCAGATGGGTGGTTAAGAACAAGCTATAAAATTGGCACAATAATACATAAGACATAACAGTACCTATGTGTTCTGTAGATGATCAGCCCTTGGTGTCCAAATGCCTTAAAGTTGAGATGTTTTAGACTTGTCCATGTGTGGGTCAAACCCACTAGATTGTATCAGCAGAAGATAACGTTATACAAGTGGTCATTCACACATTCAACAAAATAGATCTTCCGGAGAGCTTTCCTTTAACATCAATGCAGACAAAAGATGATCGGCTCGCCCGTGCGTACAAATATAGCCCCAAAAACCGTTAAGACAGCGGCGACCGAATACGCTTCAATTTTAAAAATACAACGCGCGAGGAAACAAACGGTTCGGCTTAAAAAACACAACTGTTGCAGCGTTTCACAGACCGGAGAAGTCGCTAAACGGTAAGCCGCCTGAAGTGAGCAGTTTTTAAGCGTTACGGAAGCGCAGCACACCCAGGGGCTACAGCTGTCTTTTACACACACACACACACACACATACAGGCCCTTGAAAAGGAAACGTACTTCTTCAGACAGCCCAGTGCGTAGTGCGCATGCGTCTCACCGGTGTGCGAATGTATTAATTCTACTACGGCTTGGCTTGGCTTATGAATATTAATTAGGTGACTTGATGTGATTTGTTGAACGCAATACGTTAGTAGGTTGCTGGCCAATGACTGATGTTATAATGACGTCTCGTTAATATGTATGAGATTGCGTAAATGGGCGCTCCAGGAAGGTTACCAAGCAACCTAATTAATATTTATGAGCAGCCTTTTCCGTGGTAGGAATCGTAATTTCGCATTTGGAGAGAGGAGCGACAGCACGCGCTTTTAAAGGGAATTGCAACGATAAAAACATTCACACATTAAATTAAATAATAATAAAGAAAAATGTATGTTCGTATTGTATTTTTATGGAATTTTGTAAAGTGGAAAGAGATTCAATTAACTGTAAATAAAACAACAACAGTCATAAAGTTATGTTTCCATTCTCTTTATTTATTCAGTCCTTACACTTCAAAGTTGACAATGTTAAACATGTAAGGTTTCCAGTGATATCAGAACTATGAGATATGTCACTAATTCACAATTAATGGTAACAATGTTGTTGTCTAAACCAGTATTGAATCGTGTTTCACCTTATACAACAGGTGCAGAGATAAAATATAAAATTATGCAATGCTAACAACCTTTATCTCATGCTTTTGTAAAGAAAAAGGCGCAAGAATGGAAACCTGTGGAAAGAAACCAAAAAGTAGCTTTCAACTTTTGATACTGAACAAAACCCCCTCAAACCTTCAGAGGCATGTTTGATGACATCACTGTGGGGGAGCCACACAAATGAACTTCACCAGATAACAACAAAACGTTTTCACAATTTTTTTAAATTGCTCAACAAGAGTTTGGTCAGATTTTAGAAGCAAACTCCTACAGAGGAATGATTTATATCAAACTGCATTTTACCATACATGTAAGCACATGTAGTGCTTAGGTATCAAACAATATTCAACTGAATATTACGACTGGGCTCTGTAGCTATTCTCAATTAGAACCAATTTGTTTTGTTTTTTGCAAACCAAATGGGAAAAAAAAAATTGTACAGCAGTAATATTTTTAATCTCAAGTAACAAGTCGTAAAAGCCAGCAAGTGATTTTTGCACCATTTTTAAGCTCTTTTAGTGCTGTATTTGCTGTATTATTAGACATACATGTTCTCCTATCTGTATTTATACACTGTAAGATAGACCTTTGCTATTCTTTGACAGTGCAATCTCATTAGCATCATTAACTTAGTAATGCTTTTAATAACAGCCTCTCATTCAATCTTTGTTTTTAAGCTCAAAAGCTAATTCAAAGAGCCAAATGGCTCTCCAGAGGCTTCACCAATGACCTTACAGACACAAACATCAACAGTGAAAAGAAAAGGGGAAAAAAAGCCAAGAATTCACATTTTATAATTTCCCCATGACTGAGAAAGGGTGATGTGTAAGGTCTGTTGGTTTCTAGTTTATCTAAACACTTGTGACAAGAAAAATTAGACATCTGGGGCGGTCAACTTCAGTGAGGTCAGCCCTAGATTGTACATAGCTTAACTAACGTAAAAAAAAAAAAGCGCTTAAATCAAGAATGTGGCTTATGAACAGAAAACAGAGATAAAACACTAGAAACAAATCTTCTAATTTAATTTTGAGAGAAAAAAAAAAAAGAGAACAAAATATTTGCTAGTCAAATTCAGAACACGTCACAATAGAGCTTAAATGAAAAAACAATTAGTAAAAAAGTAAATTAGTCTGATGAAAGCAGTACATTATTTCCTGGTGTCAGTTTTGTAACAATTTTAAGTTCATTATTGTTGCATATGGATCTTTTATAGAGGATTTGCGTGTCACAAGTGGCTCTCATTTTAACTGTGAAGGCATAAGGTAATCTGCAGATTCAAACAAATATTTCAACTGTCCTTATCAGTGCTTTTGAAAAACTCATTCATTACCCAAAAGAACTGAGTGTGCAGCACACACTGACCTTTTGCTTTGTAATGGGTTTGTGCGCATAATAATACAACCTGTAAGAAAATCACGAATCGATTTCAGCAAGCAGGTTTATTGCAACACATGGAGCATCTTTCTTAATAAAAGATCCTTGTTTGATCTAATCAAACAAGCCATGCTGACTCAATATGAAACCCATTTAAAACAGGATTTCATAAGCTGCTTATTTTTGAGCACTGAGAACTGAAACTAATGGAAATGCGGTAAAGCACAGCAATGAATTTTAGCGTAAGAAAACTGGTGGTATTGGCCAACGACTGCTTAAAATGGTCAGTATTGGTCCAATAGCAACCAATATCACAAACTAGTTTTTTTAGTACACTTATCTTACCATTCAAGAGTGCAACAATTTATCACTGATAAGATCCCAGTCAATCTGTCATATTTCTGGGCTTGGTCAACAAAGCAAATAACACTTTGCAAGTAATTTTGTATGCAATAAACTGCCATAATCTCAGTGCCTTAACACTGACTTTGATCAATCTGGCACAAAAAGGAAAAAAAGGGGGGGGAAAAGATGAAACCCCCATCTAATGCACATTTTCTATGGGAAAAATTAAAGTCAGCATATGCGATTATGAACTAAAAGCGAATTTTTCCATTTGAGATAAAATAAGATTCAAAAATGCCATAAGACCAATCAAGTCGCATTAAGTGTAAGCCAGTTGCTGTTTTTGTGGCATAACTGCACATTTAATGGGTTATGAAAGTTGTCTCATCCCCAAAAGAATCAGCCTTGTGTATTAAAACGGCTGTTTGAAAGATTATTGTAAGACTGTTAGAATGCATCAGTTGGCGAGTATACTGATGTTGGTTCTGCTTTTAACATATCAGGTTTGTCACAAGAGCTGGTATTGTTTCCGTCACTTCCCTTTGATGGGAATCATCACAGAAGTATAGAAGAACTTGAGAGAAATACAGACTGAGAAGTTCCAGTTCTGCTGCAACATTCAAACCGAGGTCCATTCATTCTTAAAATCTTTAAGGCAGGTTCAGTGAGCCTTGACCGTGAAAGTCAACGGCTTATTCGGAGTGCAGCGGGATGACGAATTTACATCCGAAGGGGGAGTGGTATTTGATCCCCACTTCCTGGAACACCTGTCGGGGAATGCCAATGTCACACAGATAGACTCGGCCGGCGCCGTCGGACAGAGGCAGCGGGAGGCCCAGGGAAAGTGACCATTTTGCTTCCACGGCATGTGCCTGTCCACTTACTGGAGGGTCGATGCTCAGTACCGGGGCTCGGTTCTGATTTGCCCAGTCGGCGGCGGCCTTGTACCAGGGCTGCTCCCTCAAGAATCCGTTTTCATGCGAATCCAGGCAGTTTATGACCAGGTCAACTGGCGTCTCGGGCAAGTCTGAGGGTGAAATTACATTTTGCGGATAAGACTAATGTAGTTTAATTTTTAACACAGAAGCCATTTATGCATCATACACCTCCACTGGCTTTCAGAAGTATTCTGGTATATTCCGTGAGGAGGGTGGGTGGGTACAAAGTTAAACATGTTTTTGCAATTCAAAGTTTCCAAGACTTTCGAAGCCCATCTAAACAAAGCATTCAGGTGGGTGTGTTAGGAAGATATGTGACAAACAGAAACCATGCTAAAGGTTTTTCGTCATCAAAATTTGTGTTGATGGAAACAGATCTTTGGGGGGGGATTACACCTGGTGATCCAATCACAAGTGGTCAGGTTGATTAATGGTTGTGCAATATTAAAATTCTGGATAATAGGATAAGCTGATTATTATTTTCATTTTATAGCTGATAACTGTTAAATAAACAATATAATATATACAATATAAAATTGTATACTCTTTTGTCTTAAAAAATTACAAATAACACTAGCATTTAAAATCAATCAAGTTATATATAATATTACACTGAAGATTAAATTTTTTGTATTTTTAAAGATTAACTTTTGAATTAAATATTTTTATATTTTTAATATTTAATAATAAATATTTTTATTCAGCTAAGATGCATTAAATTGATCAAAAGTGACAGTAAAAACGTTAACATTGTTACTAAAAATAACAGTTTTTATATAAATTCTGTTCTGTTGAACTTTATATTCCAAGAATCGTAAAAAGTAAATAATTTCCCAAAAAATTATATATATATTTTCAACATTGATAATAATAATAATTTTTTCTTCAGCATCAAATTTATGTAGAATCATGTGACACTGAAAACTGGAGTAATGAAGCTGAAAATTCAGCTGTACCATCACAGAAGAAAAAAATGATATGCTAATGATAATTATATCATATAATGATGTAGATTAAATGGTTACTTTGAATATTTCACAATATTACTGTTTTTACTGTAGCCTTGGTGAGTATAACAGACTTTTTAAAAAAACATAAAAAAATCTTACCAAACACAAACTTTTGCACAGCAGTGTGTGTACATCTCTAATATCAACCAATAATACTAATAATTTTAATGAAATTATCATAGTTATTAAGGGTGGGAGATATGACCAAAACCTTATATCACGACATATATCACAATATAGTTATTTTTGCTTTAAATAAGGTCTTTATGAAATCAAAATTTTTGATACCAAAGAAATTTCATAATTCTTGTCACCAGCATCAATATCACAAAAATAAAAAAAAACTCAATCGCTGTGAAGACAAGTAAACAGTCAGGGATTAAATAGGAATAAGAAACTAATTGCAAGCAACAGGACAAAAAACTACAGTACAACAAATAAATAAGAACTGCTACATGCATTGTATGAAGTAATCAAATGTACAAAAACACTGCATATTCTTCACTGTGTAAATTAAATATTTCTTCTTATTAAAGTTACAAAAGTGATTTAGCCCGGATCCAATATACTGTTACACATGTGTTATGCTTAAAATGCGTGCAAACGAGACGAGTCAAAAATCTCTATTAGTTGACAAATCTCTACTGGTTAATCGTGTCTACCAATATATCGCCCACCCCTAATAGTTATAAATGTCAAAATGTATACGGT